GACCTTCCCTCCTGCCCAGGCTGCACTCTGGTGGACTGGCTCGACCTCAACTTTGGCAGAAAACAAAACAGCAGAGGTAAAGAAGCTCTCGTGGGCACCTCGCTGGGGACGTGCGCTCTCTGGGGGCGTGTGGGGCTCTAGGGTGTGAAAAACGGAGCCGACGGCCCCAAACTGCCCCCTGGCCACCGCTTCAGAAACGAGACTTAACCTCCTAAGAGCCACAGCAGACTACAAAGGCGTCTGCAGATGGAACGCGGAGCCTGAACAGAGCTGGGCCTCAGGCCCGGACATGCCCTTGGCACTCAGCTGGGCACGCGCCGTCCAGGTTGGGCGTTTGCGGCACGTACGGCCTGCGTGTTTGGGGCAGGACCCAGCAGGGCGGGCTCACCTGCCTTCCAGTCCTTTGCTTCTCTTTCGAGGACAAAACCCAGAAAGCTGCCAGGGTATCTCGCGCCACCGACAAAGCCGCCTTTTTCCTCTTGGAGAAACACTCATTATTTCTTATCTGTTAAACAGCGCCTACCCGGCGTGTCCTAAAGCCCCTGATAATCTTCCTGGTAATTAACTTGTACAACAACGCGCGTGGGGGAACGGAGAAGCGTCCTGAGTGGTCGAATTCGCAGAGCGGAGGTACGAGGTTGGGGATTCAGCTGCCACAGGCCTGAAACCTCCCCGGGGGCTCCGGCCAGTCACAGGAACGGGTCCGCGTGGGGCATCTGTAACCGCCAAGCTCTAACCCTAATCCTAAACCTGACCCTAACCCTAAGTGTAACCCTAAACCCCAAACCCTGACCTAACCCCTAACCTCTACCTTAAACCTGACCCTGACCCTGAACCTAAACCGTAACGTACTCTCTAACCTCCAAGCTCTAACCCTAACCCCTGACCCTGACCCTGACCTTCCTGTGGGGTAGGTAACACGAGAGCTGGATGGGGCCTGTGAAAAGGGAAGACAGTGTATGCTGACACTTATCCTCCTTTGTGCAAGCCCACTCCGCGCCGGGCTTTGTCCTTACGAAAAACATACCTTCAGCCCTCACCAGAAATGAGCTCTCCCGCCGTGAAACGACACGGAGGGGCCTTCAGTGCCGACAGCCAAGTAAAAAAAAGCCAATCTGAAAAGACTGCGCACTGTACGTCCGTTCCGATTCTAGGACATTCTGGAAACGCCAAAACTACGGAGGCAGTGAAAATCATCAGTGACTGCCAGAGGGCTGGGAGGGGTGGGGCGCAGAGGCGTCTGTCTGCACACGCGTCATTCGGCATCTGTCCAAGCCCACAGGACGCACACTACCGAGGCGAACGGCGGGCCTCAGCTCACAACGCCGTCTGGGTGTCTGTGCATCACTTGCAACAAACGTGTCATGTTGACGCAACGCTCGCCTGTGCAGACAGGAAATAAGCCATGTCTGTGGCCCCCGAAATTTATAACATGGAGCGATGCTTTCTTTTTCTTTCAGGGTTAGTTTTGTAAAACCAACTTCACCTATGTAATGTCTCTCTTCGTGAAACGGGAATGGGAACCTGTTCACTGGGGGATTTTAGGCTTCACGAATGGGCTTCATGAAACTACAAAAAATGGTACGGTGCTCAGAGATGCGGGTATTCCTTTTTAGTCTTGTCCAAAAACTATTAAAAACACACACACAAAAAATGTCCTTTGCCAGTTCATTATTTTTCTAAAATGACTGATACTTGAAAATAAATAGGAAGCACACGATTTTGTAGTCATTTTCACTGAATAAATTTGCTTCATAAAATGAAAAAAAAAATAATAATAGAGGACATTGTGGGGCGGTGAGGGCAGGTAGTAGGCTAACTGGCTGTATTTTCTACAAATGTCAAACTGAGCTGAAAAATTAAAGTCTAGGAAATTTTTTTTTAATCACAATAATTTAGACACAGACGGGTCTGGCCATACCTGCCAGGTGAGTGTCTAGTGCCTGGCGGGGGTCTCTTCCACCTGCCCCTCGGCAAAGGAGAAAGAATGTGTGTTAGAGGTAGGAGGGCTCTTTACGACGTTTTTCCCCCAAAGGAATTTTTAAAAAAAATAATAATAATAATGATCAAAAGCAACATTGTTCGTCTTTAATTTCACGAGCGGATTGCCTGTGTAAATGGCTCTGAATAATTGCACGCAGTCTACCTCAGAAAACCTAAGATGGGCACCAGCTACCAGGCTTTCATTCTCTCTCCAACACGGATGTGTGAAAACACGCCGCCAATTAAGTACTTCAGACGGACGGGAACAGTCAAGGACCCAGACGCGTCCGGGCAGGCGTGTGACGTTCCCCCGCCTGGGACGGCGATTAAGCAAATGACCAAGGGACGCGAATGGCAAGCGCTGAAAACGAAACGGAAGCCCTCCCCACTCACCCCCAGGCTGATCGGCGTGTGTCGCGTGTGGGGTGATGAATCAACCCCGAGGTGTGACCTGCCAAGCATTTCCGTGAGTTCCAGGTAACAGTCGGGTGAGCTCAGCACACGCAGGCGTGGGGGCCCAGGCAGGGAGGCATGTCTCCTTCAAGCTTTATAAAAAGGAGGCACCATAATATCTGTGTCCCACGTCCCTGGACATCCTGGCCACTCCTCTAAGGGACAAAAACAACATCGCCAAGTGGGTTAAAATTCCCGAGGACCAGTTCAGCCTGGAAAGACACAGTGGCAGAGAAGGGATAGGAGCCGTCTCACGGACAGCCGTGACAGTGACAGACGCCCGGAGACCAGTGTGTCTGCGTACATCGTGTATCTTTACATTCCTCACTCTACTTTCTGGAACAGACCTGAACGGGCGAAAGTGAGCAGCTGTTTCGTGCCGCAAACCCAAGGGCACCGAGCACAGACCGAGATGAGACACGCGTCTCCGTGGGAAACCAGACGCGCAATTTGCTCTGTCCTGACAATGGAGGAATAGGCAGCCGTAAAAAACAACGACTTGTGTGCAGGAATCAAGAAAGACGTCCAACCGGACGCAGCCGTGCTTCCGTCAACCTCGCTTTTGTTCCACCGACCCAGACATAAAAGACCACCTTTGTCCTCACACGCTCACCCGCAGGCCACGTGTGTGTCACACATCGTCTCTTATTATCTTGAGAGCTCCCACCTTTCCATGTAAAGGAAGCAACGTGGGGTTTCTCTGCGGCATCCCCGAATGGGGCCGTAAGCAGGGGGTGAGAGGACTCCATCTGACCTTGAGCCGAGGGGAGTGGCGTGGACAAGGGTCTCAGAGGCTGCGGCAGGCGCAGGCTGGCCCGGACATCAGCATCACCATGGGAACGTGGGCACTCGCCCTGGAGGGGTCCGGCGTGGGTGCAGGGAGATGTGCTAAGACGCAGGGTGAGCCAGGCCCCTGAGAGACGGACACGCAGCTGCCCCGCTGGCGTCCCTGGGAGCTGCGGCTGTGCCTGCCGTACCAGTGGGCAGAGGGGCCCCGGCACAGGGAGGGGACCCCACGGCTGGCTGGATCTCGGGTCCGGGGGCTCCTGAGTCTGGATGCTGACTCGGCCAAGAGGAGGGAAATGCCTGGGTCTCCACTGACCAACTTCCAAACGTTGGAAGCCAGTGTGGCATTGCTTTCATGTTGGGTTCAGTGCACACAAGACAAGCTTAAAAAATGTGTGTGCGCGCACACATGTGTATGTGTGTGCATGTGTGTATACTTGTGTGTGCACCTGTAAGTGCATGCATGTGTGCACATGTGTGTCTGCACATGTGTGTACATGTGTATGCTTTGTGTGTGCATGCATGTATGCATGTGCATGTGTGTTCACATGTGTATTTTTCGTGTACGTGCACGTGTGTTCACGTGTGCACGTGCTTGTAAATGCATGTGTGTGCATGTCCACATGTGTGTGCTTGTGTGTGCATGTGTAAGTGTGTGTGTGCACATGTGTATATGTGTGTGCGTGTGTGGAATTGGCTCACACCTCCCTGCACCAAGTCCCCTCACCCTGTGAGAATAAGGACACTCACGTGGCTCAGACATGATCCCCTGCTCACCCCTCAGACACTTTCAGTCACTCTGCCCGCGGTGACCACCGTGAAGGGTGCCCCCTGTGGGACAGCTGTGCTGCGGACCCCTGGGGTCACCTGGCTCCTGTGCAGCCCCGTCCCTGGGCCCCATGACATCCGCTCCCAGGCCAGGCTAAGCCTGAGTCCCCAGGACCACAGAGAGTCCTGCTCTGAGACGCAGAAGGACCACAGCACCCTCGGCCTCCCCATCTCCACCGTCGCCAAGGACGCATGGCCACGCTGCCACACGGAGGGGTCTGCCCTCTCTGTAAACTCAGGCGCCCGGGGGTGCTGCTGAGAACGGAGTGCCATGTGCGGAGTGTGGGGAAGGGCCGAGGGTCGGCGGTTTAGCTGCCCCGGCTCCGTCGGCCCCAGGTGTGCACACCTGACCGCTTATCCCCATGGTAGCTAGCCCCCCGGATGCTGAGCTCAAGCACCGGCTTTGTATCATTCAACAGAAAGAAACAAACAGAAGCGGACGAGCAGCAGGTAGGGCGCCTGCTCCCAGAAGGGACTCGCCGTCCACAGTGACCGGAAATCAGTGCATCGCCGGTGGCGCTTTCCGCAGCACGGAAAACCCGCCGCTGGTCTTTCCTTCGCATCCACCACTTTCTGCACAGAATCTCAACCTACGCAACTGAAACCACCACGTCATGGAAACAAAACCTTCTAGAAAGTTCTCTCCCCCGATAAAGGAGAGCACTGTTAGAACACGTGAGGCACTGAAACTTTTTAAACAGCCACATATGAACCCCAAAACGAACCTTTGCTCCTGTCCTGCGTAGGTGTACAACACAAAGCGAGGTCTGCGGAATTTATTCTTTCAACAGTCGTTTTTTGAAAAAAAAAAAATTTCATGCCGATTTTGTACAACGTTGTGAAACAAAAACACCCAAAGGATAAGTCGAGACGCAGAGACATGTCCCTCCCTCCACGGCCACCCCCACCAGCCTGTCCCTAAGGCCACGCGGGTTCGCCAGAAGCAGTACCTTTGTTATTCAACGTTTCTTGTTTTATCTTCTTCACGGCTTCATGGGCTCTGGGCTTGTTATTTCCAGCTAAAAAGAAAAAAAAATACCATTAGGGATAAGGTCATCCAGAAACCATCAAATGCCAAAAACTTGTTTTCTTGAGACACACGACGCATTGCAGAACTGAGCGTGCCTCCTGACGTCCCCTCATTGTTTAGCCTGAATTGGCCAGGCGTCCGCATTTCCCCACCGTTTTCCTTTACGGCGAGACCCCGGGTGGCATGATAAACACAGGCTTGGAAGCTGGGGATAGCTCCAGCACGGGCATGGTGGCATACACGCCAGGCTACAGGCAGAACTTTCTAAGACACTTTTGGTCCAGGCGCCCCCCTGCGATCCTGCGTGGCCCGAGCTGTAAAAATGACCGCGGGGCGTCCCCACTCCGCCCTGGCGAGTTCTCATTTTGTTACCGGCGACGACGCTGTAAAAATGCACAGGTGTGGCTCGGGGAACACAGGTTTGGAAGGACAGCCATGGGCGTTTTGCGCACGGGGCGTGTCACGGTTAAAATAAGGACAAGGCCACCGGGAGTGTGATGATCAAGTTAATGTGGTTTCCTGCACGTCTTAGGACGTGACCGCGTGCTGACGGTGAGAACCGAGTTTGCACGGCGTGCGTGTTGTTTTTTCCACACATCTGTGACCACACAGCTCTAATTCGAAGCCCCTAACAGGGGCTGCTCTCAGGAGGTCCTGGAGCATGAACAACGGGCCACGCCACACACAGCCCAGTGGCCTCTTTGCAGGGGAAGCCACGCACGAAACTCCCTGCAGGGGTGAGTCACAGAGGGAGATGAGACGTGAGGAACGCACTCTTGGTTATGGAGCCCTGGGGGCCCCGAAGACCCACAGGTGGCTTGAGCACACCTGTCCTGGGAGGGGAGGGGCCAGCCCGTGTCACCTGGGTGGTCCACTTGGGTCCAGCCCCTGCTTGGGGGGCGGGGGCGTTCTCTGGACAGAACCACCCTGATATCTCGAAAAACGTATCACCAAGCCACCCCTTTTCACGCATTTTCGCATGCTGGGTACAGCTATTTTACTTCATTCACACATTCTAGCTAAGGACCGCTATTGTGGTCCGCTAGCATTCCCTTCTGTAGGATGTACCCTGTACCCTTGACAAGTGCCCCCAAATTAACTTATGGAATGCCCTTCCGCCCCGACCTCCCCCCACAAAAAAAAAGTGTTGACCACGAAGAGTTTTAAAAACAAACATGTAAGACAGTAGACTGAGCCTAGCAGAATTGGAAATGCCTTCGGCTCCAGCCAGGGACGTGCAAAATAAACAGGGCAGCAGACCTCTTTGGAGGTACACTAACAAACAGGGATTTGTGAACCCCGTCCCTGCTTTCAAGGAGTTCAAAGTTTCAGGGATCAAAGAGGCACAGCTACCAAGTAATTTGCCCCTTAGGTGCCCTTCAAGAAATAGAAACTTGACATGGTTATTACTGTTTTTTCCCCCTGCATTTTTGGGGGAACGGGCAGGTTGGCGTGTACGAGATAGCCCGAATGCTAACGTCCATCTCTAAATGTTCTAGGCATCAAAGTCCGCCTGCTAAATAGATAAAAACATAAACAAATAGATAAATAAATACATAAGCAAGCACAGGTCACCTGAGGCCATAGGTGTGAAGGACCTTCCTTCGGAAATTCCGCGCGGTTTTTATACATCAAGTAGCCGTCTGCTCCCGGGATGAACCTCCAGCACTGACCCCCTTCGCATCAAGCGCTGGCACAGGGGAAGCGTGGATGAAATGACAGCAAAGCCCCCCCATTTCCCGAGAAAGATGTAAGTGGCCAGAGAAAGCCGGGGGTGGGGCGCGGCCATCCTGGTCGCCAGGTCCCCCGGATGGCCAGCTCACGCTTCGTATCCAGGCTGGTATGACTAGCATTGAATTAGAGGTATGGACACTCACTTCCTTTGACAAAGGTCAGTTTCAGCAACTGCCTCCACTCATCTAAATATATATATATATATATATATATTGAACCCAAAGTAGGTCAGCAAGCCACGGACCTGGGGCCAAATTTGGCGCGCCACCTGATCGCCTGATACTAAAAAAAAAAAAGGTTTTTTGGACCAGAGCCATGGCCATTTTTAAGTGTTGGCTGTGGCTGCCTTCCTGCTGTCAGGTCAGAGCTAATCGCTGAGAGAGAGCTATGAAAATATGTATCACCTGGCCCCTACCAGGAAACACTGACCCCTGGTCTAAACCTGAGGCGGCCGTTGATTAAGAATTATGAAGAAAGAAACATCCTCCACCCATGCCTTCAAACAAGAACAGCTAAGATCTAGTGAACAGAGAGGAAACTGAATAATGCGTGCATTCACAGCAATATTAATGCATCGCTCGGCCTCACTCGGACCCAGGTTGTCACTTCAGCCCTTCGGCAAGTAATTGATGATTCTTTCAACGTTCACAGATTCGGGATTAAGGAATCTGAAATGGGACGTACCCGGCTCTGACTTCGTATTTAATCTAAAAATGCGCTAAGGGTCGAAGGATGATGTTTTATTCAGTGACTTTGAATCAAAACGTCAGGCAAAATGAAAAATGGCCCCTCCCCGGGGCGTATCCAATTACCCCCTCAGAGTCACACGGCGGCGGAGGTGAGATTGCATGCTTGTTTGCAGTGGCCAGGAGGCTCGCAACCGCGACCCCCCCCCCCCACTGTGAAGGCGGAAAGCTCTGCGGCAAAGGAGACGGTGTCGACTCTCCGCTGAACGCCAGAAACACAGCTGGTGCTGACAGGCGCCGTTCCTGAGGTTCAACCCACATCCCCTAAGTGAGGTGACAACAAGTCGCTCCAGTCCGCTTGCACGGGTGACACACGCGTGCTCAAATGTGTAGGGTCAAAATCAAGGCATTTGAGTCCATCCCCAGGATGGGGCGAGACACAGTCGTGACTAAAGCTCCCACCCCAAGCGTCGTGGCCCATCGGTAACCGTCCATCAGTAAGTGACGGGCAGGGGAATTTTCAAAGAGGAGCTGGACGCCAAGGAACGAATGGGTGATGAAGAAATGAGGGATTAAAAAAAAAAACAAAAAAAAGGAAAAATGTGACCCTGTAGCAAACAAAAATAATTCATTAAAAAGGGAAGAGCTAAATACAAACCCTTGTTATTCAATTCCTGGAAGAGTTTTCAAGAAGCCAGTATACATTAACTGTGTAGGAAAGAGTACTTTAAAAAACAACTCATAAATAAATAACTTTGCAAATTCAAAGAAAAAAAAATGAGGGACCCTGGGTGATGGGTTAGAAAGTCGGACATGAAAGCACTCCTTAACCCTTAAAACCGACAGGATTATTTTGATAAAAACGGGCGCCATTGAACGTTTGAGTTAAATGAGCCGATGCCCACAGGGGACTTGAGAAACATGACGTTTCTGTGTCAAAGCCCATCTGCACGCGTCCTTCTCTGCAGCTGGCTGACGCGTCTGTCCCCGGATGGCTGGCAACGGGAAGAATCGTCTGAACAGTAACCACGTTCCCAGCCCAAGGGAGTCCCTTCGTTTTCAAAGAGGATTCAGGCACCAAGATAAGCTGCCCGAGATTTTTCAGAAGACTGGAAACCATAGAATGTCTGTAGGATATAACTGTAGGGGAAGCTACTGTTCTAAAAACCTGGTCAGATTCTGAAGTGTGTCCCCCTAAAATTCACAGGTTGGAGCCCTGACCCCCAGGACCTCAGGATGGGGCTGTTTCTGGAGATGGGTTTGTAAAGAGGTAATTAAGTTGACATGAGGTCACTAGGGTGGGGTCCTGATCCAACAGGACCGTGTCCTTATAAGAAGAGGAGGTGAGGACACAGACACACACAGAGGAACAGCCATGTGAGGACACGGGGAGCAGACAGCCGTCTGCACACCCAGGAGAGAGGCCTTGGGGGGGACCAGCCCTGGGACACCCAGATCTCGGACTCCAGCCTCCAGGACTGAGAGGGAATAAATGTGTGTTGTCAGCCGCCTGGTCTACGATATTTGTCACGTCCCCTCTGGCAAACTAATTCAGATCGAGGGTTGTTTTTTCCAAGTGAATCACACCCAGAAAAAATATATGATCAATATTAATGCAGAATGTACATTCATGTCGAAAAGACATCTCCTGTCTTTTTCAGTTTCTGAATATTGATCCCTATGTCTTCCGCCTCTGGCCGTGTCATCGATAAGCAAATCAATATGGACACCCCTATATATATATATATATAAGCAAACAACTGCGCGTGTCCCATTAGTTGCCAGGTACGAGTGAGTGTAAAACCAGTCACCTATAATCACGGTCATGCCGAGTCTTGCCAAGCGCTTCGCGGTCGCATAGCCGATTCCATCCGTGCCTCCCGTCACTAAGGCAACACGTTCGGGTTGTGGGGGGAAGGCTGCAGAAAGGAATAAAACATAAAATAAAAATCAGAGTGAGGCTCAGAAGCAGACGGCACGTCTGTAAGGATGAAGCCCTAGGAGACCGCGGCGTGCTGGCGGGAGAAGTGGTTGCATATTTGGGGTTCCTCCTGGATTTGTACAGACCCGGGACGCAAAGTGAAAAATAAACGATGAACAGGGAGAAAATTTGCAACGCCTATCACATTCAAAGGGCTGTTCTCCGAATACGTAAAGAGTTCTTATGAACGAAGGAAAAAATCCAACTCCCTCCAGAGAACAAGGGCAACGTTAACCATTTATACAAAAAGATACCCACATGGTCCTTGAAAACACACGCTCAACTTCACACCGAGTAAGAGAAATGCTAATTAAAATTCTACCGAGATACGATCTCACTTATCAGATTGGCAAAAGTTCAAGTGCTTTGAAGTCACGTTTCTCTGGCATGGTGACGGGGACCAGGCACTCATGTACGCAGTGGGTGGGGGTGCAAAATGTTCCCCCACAGGGGTAAGTTGGGACAAATTCTAGAGCAATTACGTATGCATTTATCCTTTGACCCAACTAGGAATCTACCCTGCAGACAGACATTGGTATCAAAGGTTCCTCACTGCAGCCTCCAACCCTCAGAGGAAGACTAGGGGGACATCCTGACATATGTCCACGTTCTGGGGTCTCCTAGCCAAGCCTGCATCTCTGCCATCCGGCAGGGAACTCGGAGAATTCCTGAGTGGTCCAGGCTCAGGTGAGAAATTCCCCCTCCTGCCCAAGTGAGCACCTAGACAAGCAGGCCTCCTCCATTCTACTGTGGACCAGGCACCTCGTCGTGGGGGTCCCCACCCCGCCTGGTGGCAGGCGCACGGCCGGCGTTCAACGCATGTTCCTTGAGTCCATGAACGAACTGACGGACCCAACGATGAATCAGTGAGACACGTAAGGCTGCTACCCCCTACCTGGGAAGGGCAGCGGACACGGGCTGTGGGCTGAATGTGTGTGTCCCCCTCAAATTCATGTGTGCAAATGCGAAGCCCCCGACAGGATGGCATTAGGAGGTAGGTTCTCTGGGAGGGGTTAGGGTTAGATGACGGATGAGCGTTTCTGTTCTAAGGTGCCTATTTCACACACCAGGACACCCTTCTTTCCTCCTCAGCAGCTTCGAGCTGCACAATGGAGGCCCCCGCACGCGAGATGCAATGACACAGGGCACGGCTTGTCCCCAACCATCCCGGGAGGGTCTCAGAGCATGAACTACATGCACGGCAGAGGACGGGGGGTTTGTGGTAATGCACCCCCACTCTGCAACACGCGCCTTTCTGAGCAGCTGGAAGCGACACTCACACATCCAAC